CACACACAATATATATTTACTGAGAGCAAATATTTGCCAAGACAGATCGTCAGATATTTGTGTAAAACAAGCGAAACTCAGACGTTAGCATCCTATCTACCAGACAAATACATATATACATAAATTTCAAAGTAGATCAAGCCTATTTATAAGAGAAAACATTAACATAGATGAATGTGAATATTATACAAGAAGCTCATTTCTCTTTCCCAACTCAACTGGTAATAAATTAAAATGGCCTAAAGAAGAAGGAAATTTAAGAAGCTTATTTCGCGCTCAGTGGATCCATGGCTCATAAACTCAAGCACTCGACTTCCAAGCAACATATCCTCAGTTCAAATTCTGCCTCACTTACGTTAGCCTGGTTAAGTGGGTCGTGTCATAAGCCCTCAAGAAATTAATGTGGCTAGTAGTTTAATGCATAAGCCTGTAACAGGTAAATGAACTGCACTAATTAACTAGTACTCCGGTCTATAGTAGTTCGGAGGAAGTGTATATTTATTGTGTACGCATCGAGTTACTTGAAGAATGAAACATACAGATTCTTAGTCTAAGATGGACTTACGGACTTTGCGCGAAGTTTGATAATTTTAAAATGTAAACAAGAATAATCAAACCGGCAGTAGTTCCCGGAAACGAAGATATATCCCAGTAGCATATGAATAAAAAAGCTGATGTGAGTAAAGACCTCAGATGAATTATCTACGCAACACTCGACATCTAACCGCTGTGTTAATAACATATTGATTCCATGATGCACGAGTCGTGCTAACAAGACAATGGTAGTCTAATACCTGAAGCCTTCTCATGTCCCTCCACCTTTAATGGTCATGTTTCACAACTTTGTAATAGAACAGCGCAAACGAATAAGCAGTACACTTGACCCTTAAAAAGCAGACTCATATCTCACCTATGTAGTAAGTAGATGGTGTAATTCGGCAAAAAATAACTGAGCCTTTCGTACTCATACCGAGATTTTGTTGATCACTGGATCACTAAGGCTGATTCGACTCTCTAGTTCACTCAAGTCGGATGAGGTATAGATACAGACCAATCCTGAAGGAAATACTTACATTTGAATGATGAAAACAACACCTCAAAAATTCTCAAATTGTCTTCGCACAAAAAATGCTATCACCAACATAGAAGATAGATCATATGAGTTACTGTAATGTAAACTATAGTGCACAAGTCCTTCGGATTCCTACCAAATTAATCATAACAAGTAACCGTCGGGTCAAAGTGACAGATAGATATCAATATGAAAAAAAAAGACTTAGTCCCAAAGCACTTCCGAGACATAAACATCTTGCACCACTAAAGCAGTTTCTAAACCTGATTTGTTCACTACGAAAAAGACCTTAACTCACCTTAACCTATTCTCCAATTCGAGGGCTGTATTCAACTGCGTTAAACAAGAAAAAAAGCGCCATCTAAGACCTGATAGATGTATTGATATGGCAGAATTCTTGTTGTTCTACATGTACATTCTGTCTAACTATAAGGGACCAAGCACTGTATTTACTGAAATAGTCGTATCTTATAGATTACTCACTGGTAGATAAAGACAGGATGGTATTTCCCAAACATTTTCAATTCGAGACACATATTTAATCAAAAGATCAGTACGTAATACAGTCTTATGGAGGTTAAAGGTAACTGATAACACCTAGAAATTCCTATTTGTGATTCGTTTACTTGGGTAAACAACTTTAAACTAGCAGCGCAGTCTCGAAACGTCATGTTATCTACCAAAACTCTGTCAGATCTGCAAGATATTATTATCGGTAACCACATATCACGTAAACCTACTTCGATAACTCACATGTAGTTGTTGGGCTAAATCTCTATTTGTTTGTTAACATGTTTGCAAAACATTCCTTACATACAATAGGACCAACTGATGAGTAATATATATACCAAGTGTAGGGCGTCAGGTAAGCTAACTAAATCCCCACAAAGTAAGATAGTCTGTATATGTTGTCCGTGCTCATGACCACTAGAAATGCAAATATATGTTAGCCAAAATACAGACAACAGAAACCGAGTGATTCACTGACAGCACAAAACCTTGATAACACCAATTACTAGTCTCATTCTGATTGGAAATCCTGTGTTACCAATCTATATTAAAACTGTCACAATTCCATCCCAAAACTCAAAACTGTTGAAAGTCTCGGATACGATTAACTGGGGACGTGCAATCTAGTCACAGGAAGAACAACACAACACTTGAAAACTACCTCAGCTCACACAAGAAGTATAAAGGTACAACCCATAAACACAACTCTTGCGTCTATATATACAATACATGCGCTCTTGACAAGAATGGACAAAACAACATATTAAAAGTGGGGGATTAGGCAACATGAAAAACAGTGTTGTTGGGAGCGGTAAAATTGAGAGATACGTAAGATAATTCAAATTACTAAGATGAATTTATCAAATTTTAGCATAAAACATTCATCTTTTGGAATATAATATCCCCAAAAGAAACCATATTCCATTCCGGTTGACGTTCTATGAACAGTGAGTGAAGTGATGAGCTCAATTCTCATATTTTACGTTTTACCACCTAGTCACCCACTGCACTCGCTTCGGTAGTACATATACTGGTAGGGCTGTGGTTCATTGGCTTAAGGAGATAACTTTCAACTAGTGTCACGAGTTTAATCACCGTCCTACCTACCAAGGTTTGGGCGGCCAGGTAGTATCATTAGTCCTCACATAATATATGTAGCTCATCGCCTACTGCATGAATGTGCACAAGATTACTGGGTGAATTTCTTCGACTTCAAAAAACTGCAATTCATAAGTCAGTTTAAAATAAGAAAGACATAAAATGATTTTACGCGTTTAGTCTAATGAACGAAACTCTTTCTACCTCTCTCTTTCTCAGTAACCACCTGCATTTTTATGCACTATACAATGAGTCACATGTATTGTGTATGGGGGTTAGTAATACCATGCGGCTGACCAAACTTCGATATGTCAAGCAGGTTTTGAACGCATTAAAATCAAGTGTCCAGATCAGTGAGCTACAGCCCCGCATGTAATCAAATAAAGCTCACTTTGATTTCATGTCTAAAAATTCATCTTATAAAAGAGCGACTGAGAACATTTATTTGAAACTTGAAAGCTCTCAAAACACAGATAAACCTTGTTTTAATCACATTCGCTTGAAATACATTTCAGACAAGCCTCAAATAAACATCACATGACAAGAAGTTAAACTTTTCAACAAGTTAGGAGACAAAACAAGTAAACATAACAATAAAAATTGAGTAAACGCATATTTTTATCAAAAATACATCAGGGACAACCTTTAAATATAGTATATTCATAACACAAACCAAAAACTTGAAGAATAATTTTAAAATATACAGTTAAATAATTTAGCGATTGAAGTTGCGAGAGAAAAAAAATGCCAGAATAACCAGTAAAGGTTAGAACGAATGAAAAACAAAGATAATAACATAGCAACTCAAAAAGATGAAGAAAACAACAGGATTATCCAGGTAATCATATATAAATACCTTCCTCCCAGATTTTACAATGGTTCTCCGACTGATATCGATCCGTGATGAAAACTACTTTAAGGTACGCTGCTAGTTTGGGATATCAATCTTTTGCACCCTGATATTATTATTATTTTTCCCTTGGGTTCCTAGTGGAACATAGGGCTTCAGTAGCACGCCTCCACTTCACTCTCTTCTCTGCAGCCTTTTCAACCTCGCTCCACCACTGCTCACGAGCTTTCATTTCTTCCTCACACGATCTCCTCCATGTCACCCTCGGACGCTCAACTCGTCGTTTCCCCTTTGGATTCCACTCGACAGCCTGGCCTGGCGCGTGATGTCCTCAATCGGTTTTCTCAGTGTATGCTCGATCCAGTCCATGTATATATATATATATATATATATATATATATATATATATATATATATATATATATATATATATACTTCAACAATAACCCTCAGATTTTCCTCGTTGATGGCCGCTTAGTTCCACAGTGAATAGAAAAAGCGGCAAGGTAACAAGAGGTGTATCGCACGTTGAGATACATACAGAATTGGACGGTTTATACTTATTTACAATAGACTTGGGTATTTCTAGGCTTTTTGAGGATGACATATCCTATCGATTTGTCTCTCCAACCAATCTGTCATTGACGTAGGCTCACGCACCTTTTCTCGTAACTTCGCAACAAAACCACTGGTTGTGAGGGATTTAGGGGTTCTTATGAGGATCTGGGTGACCTCAAAGCACATTATAATACACGATGAGTTGATGAGTGGTTACAAAAGGATATGAGCAAGAACATAACTTTCGTGCATAGAGAGTTCTGGTTTCGTGTTTCGAATCAAGACGTCCATATCACTAAATGGAAGTAAAATCCGTACCATCAGAGGCAGATGACTGGATATTTTGTGAACTACTGATAAGGCGTACATGTCTACAATAAATTCAGTATTTATTAGGTAGGACTCAATGAACCACTGGACAGCTTTTAATTTCCCCGTGGCTAAAGCTTTTTGAATAGGATTCAAAGACGCAAACCAAGATGCTTAGATCTTTCTACTCTGACAGTACAAAGTCAGCAACTTCATAAGCTGCTGAAATAAATTAAAAAGCAAAAGGTAAAGGTGATGAAAAAGAACAAAGATGTAATATAAGATCTTTAGGATGTCTCTATCACTACCACTGATTTTGTCATATCACTAAAGTTTCTTCCTACAAGCATGTGCACTACAAACAATAGTGACCATGAATAGTACTCGCAGGTACCATAACAATTCGTATAAGATATCAATATTACCCTCAATGGGCTTTAAGAAAGAGGACATTCAGTAAGTTGACGCAATTCGTTTAACAATACGTCAGTCACAGGTAAACTGGATGAAAACTGTGGGGTATAGTCGATGGACGGAGCAATTACGCAGCACGATAAACACAAAAAAACAAAACTGATGAAAAATGGTTTTTCTGTCACTTACTGCATGACTTGCATGAAACATGTACGATGCTGGAGAATTATCCAAAATAACAACTTGATTAATTGGCCTACCTAGATGACTGAGATCCTTTACATAATTACCACGATGATATACACAGGATTCTCTAAACAACCGGTATCGAAAAGCCTGCCATTTGTCAATAAAATCTGCAACTGGATCGGCGTACTGTTTAAAAATAAAAAGAAAAGTGATGATAGTTATTATATATTTTCAGGTTATTGGGGACTTTATTTTTAAAGTAGTACTCATTACGAAATGACACCAGTTGGGGAACCATTCCAAACCTGAGAGCACTGGAAAGCTGCTTCGTCCTAGTATGGGACTCCCAAGCAGTACGCACTCATGACGCAGCCCCATCAGGAATCGAACCAAGGACCTTCAGGTTTCACGGCGAACGCGTTAATCATCTAGCCACTGGGCCGCGGAGTTCAGTGGTCCACAGTTTCTTACTTCTGACAACCTGCAACATTTCCGCAGCTATCATCCAATATCTTTAGCCAGCATCCGCTTCAGTTCTGACTCGCTGACGTCGCTGGTCAGGACTTTTCATTAGGACTTTGGATCGTGGGTGCGTACTGTTGAGAAGTCCCATACTAGTGATAATGTGTCTCATAAGGGTGACAAGAATGAAGCAAGTGATCTTACTCTCAACTTATATAAATAATATAAATACAAAAACAAAGTGCATTGTTTGTTAGATAACTATATTCTTCGGATTTAAAATGCTTAGGCGTTTTGTGGAGCTACAATGAACTGCTTCAAGCTTCAAACCACCATGTAACGCACCCAAGCACACTTCAACTATTATCTTGCTTACTGAGTATTATCAAGACTCTTCAAACGATAGATGCCGCCAAAGGCCTAACATATGAACAGCCAAGTAGTTACTAAGTTTTAATGTTGCTACTGCTACTACTGAAAGGTAACGAGAAGACCGAGACGAAGGAAGGAATGTTTATTATTAACAAATGGTACAGTAGTCGTTAAATATGGTACACCTTGCAATAAAATCGTCATTTACAAGATGTGCTTCATTTTCTCTTCTGTTTCTCTCTTGATTTGCTCTTCATACGCCTGAGTTGTGCCTTGCGTTTCTTTTGGTGGAATCCCTACCCATTGCTGGTAATTCCCTATGATTTCTGCTACCCTCCCAACATATACTACTTATATCCATTATTGTCAGTAACCTCCACTACACTACTACTACTGCCGCTACTATTATTATTACTATCGCCATTATAATTTTCGGATCAGAAGTATTTACTGCTTAAGACACGGATAGTATGTGTGTGTGTACATATTTTAGGGGGGGGGGGGGGGGGAAGTACTTTATGAACCCAATAACAATCGATCTCTTTTAGTAAAACTTCACAAATATCGTGAACCTCTCATGAAATTATTATGTTTATTTAACTAGGTAGAATTTAATTAGAGGGGTGACAGTGTTCATCTGTTCACTGATTGATTTTGCTTGTCCTAGTTTAAAGTATTGAACCGATGTGTTTCGCTTATTGATGTTGTTCGCCCAAATCACATGTCCTATTTTTTTTATGCTATGTAACTAACAATGGATAGAAATACACTCTTCAAGCATAACTAACAATACTCCTGCTAAATTATCATTCTTGCGACTAATATAATAATACTAATATAGCTCAACTTAGTAGACATTTAAGTACTGGGTTATGAGCCACACTTGTTATGTTAGGGCATTCGATACTAACCGATCTCCCAGGCGAACATGGACGGAGCGAGTTAGGAACCCGGGAATCATTGCTCAAAACTCGAGTTCCTAAGGTAATTAGGTTGGTGTTCAATCGCGCTGGCTTTAGTGATTTGAATAATTTAATCGCTACGTCTTTATCACCATTCTGAGCAACATTGAGTCGAGATCCGCTCGGCAACCTTGAAAATATTAGTGTGGTAGGCAATACGTCACTCCTAATGTGTGAGGGGTAATGAAACTACCTGGTTACTCAAACCTGGGTAGATGAAGCATGTTTTGAACCCGTGACCCACTGGCTGAAAGTCAACTCCCTAAACCAATAAGCGACAGTTCTACACTAAGAGTCCAGATGGTGAAAAAGAATGAGCTTTTAGAATTAACGCATAAACCGCAGAACAACCTCCCTTTATATCCCGACCATCACCAAAACAATTAGCTGAGCTAGAAATGTTTTCGTCTTGGTTTCATTTCTCCATCAATGATAGAACTTCGACAATTGTACATCACTTCAAATTAAATGTAAGTATTCATTTTATTGAATTGACTGTTACAGGACTCAAATCATTACGAAGCATCTATACTGTGGAGTTGTAACTCAATTAATGAAGGAATTTTAAAACAATATCTTATTACCAAGGTTGGTTTTAAAACTTCTTCGTTTCTTACTGCTCTTACTAAAATGCTACCTATTTATCATATTTTTTTGCTTGCCTTCCATCTATTTCTATTCATCATTTAAAATAGATTGGTAAGTGAATATGAGTATTACAATCTTCAGAATATATGGTGCGAATATATCACACTTCCCAGGTAAACCTCGTCTTCTAATCATGCTATCCAAAATCACTGAAGGGATGGATTGTTTCAAACTTCAAACCATACAACGTAATATATTACAGTGATTACTGTTCAATACTTTTAAAGTATTGCATAAACTGATTCACTCCTAACAATGGAATGAGACAAATAGGTCAATATATCGTACGATTTATTTTGAGTCCTGTGAACAAAAGCTAATTCTCAACTAGCTTCGGTATGACTTTGAAAATCAAGCCACATCTATCGCATGAATTCATCAAAATGCATACAAAGATGTATGGTGCAAAGAAAATAAAGCATAATGACACAAACCAGTAGTAGGGGGAAACAATGACATGACTGAACAAAAAAAACATCTTTAGAGGATAAGCATCATGGACTGCTGGTTTACAGAAATATTTAAGTATGATTCACTGGTGTTTTCTCAACTAGATACACTAGTAATTATGGTAATTTGCTTGTTGTGACTAGCCTATATGCCATTAGAGGTCAAACAATTCAATCCAATAAGACAATGGAGAATTACAAGTATATCAATAAATAGTAATCGATAACACTAGGCTCCATAAGTATATCATTATTTTTCAATGAAAAGAAAACCAACGAGTAATGATGGTTTTCGGTGCGCCTTGATACTTAGTTGAAAATTTGTATTCATAAAACAAGATATCCCTACTAGTAATTAATAAATACGCTCTAAAGTGTGCGAAAGCTTCTATCTAACATTAATATAAGTGTAAAACTAAAGCCACCTCCAGGCAAGTCCAAATGGTTTAATTTAATGCCCAAAACTAATAATCCTAGCAGAATTTATGGTACTATCAAGGTTCATAAATCAGGTTACCCCATTAGACCGATAAATGACTTCAGAAATATCCCAACATATGAACTAGAAAAGTACTCAGCATCGATACTCATACCGTTCAAATTCAAGACTAGTAAACTTTTAAGAGTTAAAACTAGGGCTTAATGACACACATATAGAAGAGGATGAAAAAATGGTTAGCTTCGATGTAACAAGTCTTTATACTAAAATACCAATGAATATGGCACTGAAGGCAATCAGAAGTCAACTAAATATTGACTCAGAACTTACTCAAAGAACTAAGATATCGGTTGATGAGATCATATTAGGCGTACAGATGTGCCTGAACTCAACAGTCTCCAAGTTTCAGAACAAAATATATCGACAAATAAGAGCAGCGATGGGATCGCCAATATCCCGATCGTAGAAGATATATTCATGAATAATTGGGAAACCATGGCTTTACAAACGTGTAGTTTTGCACCTAATATAAGGTAGTGATATGTGAATGACATTTACTGTATTGAAATGCGAACATATCGACAGTTTCCTCAGACATATAAACTCAGTGGTAAGTGCAATCCAATTCGTTTACGATGTAGAAAACGAACAAGGAGAATTACCAACGTTGGATTGCAGGATAAAACGAAGGATAAACAGTGGTTTGGATACTACCGTCTACAGGGAACCGCAGCATCGTAACAGATATCTAGACTTTGTCTTCTCATCCAATGTCAGTTAGGGTAGGTTTAGTCAAATGTCTAAATGATAGAGCTAGAAAACTAACTAGTCTGTGTAAAGACCTAAACAGGAAACTGAGACACATAAAAGAAGCACTAATAGTTAATAATTATCCCCTACATCTTATTAAAAAGTTTATACGAACACATAAGAAACGAAATAATAACCATGACACAAGTACAAACAATAACGACAACATGAGTAGAAAGTTCATTCCACTATGTAACAATATAAGGAAGGCACATCAGAAACGTTACGCAAGATCTTCAACAAAGCTGGAATTAGGGTGGGATGTAAACCAACAAACTCACTCAGAGATAAGCTTTGTCGGCCAGACTAAGAATCCGATAAAACCAATTCAGCAAAATAATCTAATCTATCACATTCCATGCAACGACTGTAAGGTCAAGGACATAGGTGAAACTAGCCGGTCGGGGTCAGTTAGAATAGTGGAACATAGGAATTTAGCTAAATGTAGAATGACGGACTTCAATATGATCAATAATCTAGAAAAACACTCGGCTATTGCAATGCATGCGTTAACACATAACCACACAATAGGGTGGGATAAAACTACCGTACTCAAGTCCGATATAATTGGGTGAAGAGAGAGAGATTGGTTCCTAAACCTTTGTTCATCGAATCCACACCCAAAAAGTGTAGTAGAAATGACACAAAACATATACCAGAGATGTATAAAATTTTAATACCAATAAAAATAAAGAATAAGAGGTGACTGGACTATAAAAATCAGATGTGGAAAGTAGTGTGATTACACTGATGAGATTAGGAGCAATAATTAATGTTCGAAATGTCATCAACTAAATAACACTGTATCACTGTATGTTATAAATCGAATAAACAAATCTAATATGGAATTAACTTCTATCTAACACCTCGCAACTGTTTCCTTAAAGAACCTCAGACCGAACTTTCAGTGAGACGTTGGAACTTCTTATTACAAACACGCTGAGATTTATACAAATATAATCTATGTCTAATGTCAAGCTTATAACTATGTTTTCAAATTAATTCCTTTCCTATGTGCTCTACAAACTTATGGCTGTTACGACCGATTAACTAATTCATTCATTCTAGGTTCCTAATCTCCCGTTTCACCTAATGAAATCTAACTAACCCAAATGAGTAAGTTAGATTGAGAATTATTGATAAACATGAAAGAATAAATTTTATCCTGCGTGATACAAAAAAAACCAACAGAGTAAAAGATGCATACTTTAGCTAAACTAGCCGTAAATAGTACACATTCATAGAGATTGGCCATTGTTGATAAGAAAAGATCAACATGTGGTCGTTTGAGGACATATACACGATGTGTAACTCCATCAATTTCAACTCCAACCTTAAAATCCGCGTGTTCTATCACCTAGATGAGAGAAAAACAAATACAGTGAAATCTTGTTTTTAAGGGTCACCATAACGAGAAGATAAACAAAATAGATTAAAATTGACAGGGATTATTCATCAGATGGTTGCCGATGTAGCTTTCTGTTAGGTCCAATGTGTTAAGTGCTGATGAAAACAATCGTTCTCGTTTGAGATGTGGCAATTACGCTAAGTGATGTGAAATTATGGAACGGTTTCGAAATAAACAAGTAGCAGTCGACCAGTAGGAAGTCCTGCCTCAACTAAGTTCCATGTATGTTAGTATTCACCATTGGTTTGTCTCTAGAACGTTGAAGAAACTTAGTTCCCCTCAGAGATTCGAACCTGAATTATTGTGCCAGAATAAGGGACCTTGCCATTCAGCAGTTTATGTCATGATTGCCCCCTGTAGCACTTTATTGTATACACGAACTGGTCACCGAATTAAAACCACTGACAAATTTAGCATAAATACATTGCTAACATAATTAAATCTATATGACTGAAAATGGTATATGTTTAGTGCCGACTTATAAGCATAGTATGTGACCGAAAAATACGTCATCGTAACTGCTCGACCAAATACAACTTCTAGAAATAAGGACAGGTTCAAACTCCTCTGTGAATAATACAGGTATGAAACTTAAGATTAAAGGTTCTACCTGCATGTTCAGGGTAGATACTGAATAGGTTTTAACCATTAACTGGTCATTGAGACTTGAATACCTTAATCACTGACATACAACACCACTTTTCATACCGAGACTTTGCATATTTAGAAATGTTCGCAGTTATAATAAAAAACTACTTGATAATTAACATTACTTATTAGTAGGACGTCATAAATTGTTTCGTGATATCTGCACATAGATGAAATTCCAGAAGTTATATGGCAAACTGTTTGTGGTCATTACCCTACTCTGTTGTACTTTTATCTTGTCGAAATACATAACTGGTTATAATTGGTCAGAATCGAAATGCGATCAGTGACCTTGTGCATATTCATGCAGTAGGTGTTGAGCCATACCTATTGTATGAGAACTGTAGATGATACTACCTGGTAGGTGGGACGGGGTTCGAACCCGTGACCCACTGGTCGAGTCATCTTCAATCAATCATCGACAGCTTCACAATATAGTGGATAGGCATAACACAGGCCTCATCCACCCCATGTTATGCATGTTTCTAACCTACTTGACTATCATATCTGACTGAAAACTCTGTATCTGACAACACCACTGCCAATTCAGTTCCATCAAATGTGAACAAATTTGAAATATACCTCCCGCCAAATCCCTGAGATTTTATGTAGTCTGTCCCAAACGGGTAAGTCTCGGCACACTGTGCTCAGTACGCAACAGATATTCATATTACTAACCATACATATAGGTGGCTTCACTTAAAAAATACAGGTCGAGCGTGTTGCTGACTGGTAATCCATCATTGATGGTAAAAACGTTTGTATTAGTGAAGTTATCAACGAATTTCCTCTTGATTTCATCAAAATAGGCATCTATCTACATCAGTTGTGGACAATCGTTCCACATTTCCAAAAACATAGGTTGGCAGGAATATTTACAGTCAATCGGTTTGGTATCATAATTCTGTATAGGTTGTTTTTATACTGTATTATAAAACACCAGTTAACTAGTGCTAAATTATTAATTACAAACACTTAAGAGGCCGATAATCAGTGAGAGAAATCAGAAAAATTCCAAAACAGAACAATCGTAACAAACATATTTATGCTAATCAAAGAATGTTGTCGGTAAATTTACATTATGACTGATTAAAAGAATGAATGCCAACGAGTGGAAAAAATATCAGCTGGATGGTGATAGTGATCTTCTTTGCATAATTTATGTGTTACATTAGGAGGTGTAGATAGAAGCTGAATGTTTCATCAACAGAGGAGAAAGAATAAGCAGCTTCAAAGTGGCCTTTAGTATCTAGACTGAGATGACCTTACCAACAAAACCAACAGGGCTAATCCAACTCCTCAAGTAACTGAAACGGTCAGTGCTTTTCAACTAAATGGTTGACTACAATAACGTAGAAGCAGTTTTAGTCATTTATCAGTCCAGGTTACTACAGTTGAGTAGGAGAGAGTTCAAAAAATAATAGACTGGAATCGACACAAGACAGAAATGGAAAGCGAAGACTGAGCAAATATTGAATAATACACCAATTCTAACAGCAACAATATTAAATCGTTTCACTTAATATCTCTCAGTTGTCGAACTCTATCACTTAACGAACAATGGCTAGTAAATAGGTGCTGACCTTGACCAAAAGACAAAAAAAGTTGAGGAACCATGGAACACATACATAGACAAGAACAGTTCTCACCTTGAAGGAACTATGCACAAGAGTTTCGTCCAAATCAATAACAAAACACTTTTTACTTTTATCCGCTTCACTTTGTGGTCCAAGTAAAGCTGTTTGATGCTGGAAAAGAAGAAAAACAAGAGAAGTAAGGAATAATACATAGAAATTTCTAAAAGTGAATGTGCATACAATTAAACCAACACAATACAACCATAATTTCCATCAGCTTACTCGGTGGAAAAGTATCAAAAAGAGGAGCATAAAGTAGACTGACGCCTAACTTAGTGACTCTATACACCATCAAATGTAAATCAAACCGAGCAAAAACAAATGAAAATGGTTGAAAACAGGTATGAATTTTTTAATTTGCCGATTTAATGAGAAAAAAAATAATCAGAGGGGGCATACATTAAAATGCAATATAGTTTAAATAAGCTACTTCAAATATTTTCCGTATACAAAATTTTTTTACAAGTGGTGACTAATTTTTACATGCGAAAATGACCCGTTGCTTTATTTATACTCCATTGAGTAGGTAGCACGGCAACACCACCACAAAGCAAAGTAGCCCTGTTATTGTTTACCTATTTGTGAATATAATTGGTTCACTGACATCAACATGTTGCTTTTTCTCTAGCCATTATATTACCCGACACAGAACCAAATAAGATAATCCACATGGATGTAGAGATTGAGCAATATGGTAGGATGCGATTTCACACCAGAACAGTTTAATTGATATAGTGCACAGCGGCTAGATATCATTTATCCAGTAAATAATAATGTACCACTGTGTAATATCAAATAAACTAACCTAGTATGGAACATAAAAAACAGGATAAGTTCGCATGAATTCAACTGCAATGTACGAAAATATTAAAGGAATGCTACCTTACTCTTCTTAAAAAGACGTACAAAACAAAGTCTAACTGTACAAAGATAATGATTCACAACAACAAAGAAAAATTGAACAAAAGTAAAAGATTTCAGTTTGGAAGTTTGTGGAGACTAACTGATTCCAGGGTAGTATGAATAACGGACTGACATCAGTTACAGAGCCAACTGAAAACCTGGGAGTATTATTTGACAACTGTTTCGTTCTAGTATGGGGCTCCTCAATAGTGTACACTCATAACTACGTCAGGAATCGGACCAAGATACTTCAGGTTTCGTGTCAGACACTTCGCCATTCACCCACTGAATTAAAATTCAATGGTTAACATTGTCCTACTTCTGTCAATTCTTAAAATGTCATCAGAGAGTGTTTGTACCCACACCTGACTTGGTTGACCCCACGGGCCACGACTTCTCATTAAAACTTCGAGAAATTCATCTCAAAGATATGTTGTGAGTGAGCACTGTGGAGGATTTCCATACTACCAATAAATAGCTACCCAGTGCTCTCAGGTTTTCAATAGTTCTCCAACCGATGCCAGTCGGTGATGAATACCACCTTGAAAAGAAAAAGAGGTTAACACGCTAAAACATGAAAGGAGAAACAAAAATGCTGGTAAAGTAATATGCTTGAGTTTTGGAGCAATATAAGTTCTAAATACATTTGTTCTATAGTGATTCAACCCATCTTTATGCGGATCAGATAAGTAATCAAAAATTTTATGCTGTCATCATATTTTATATTTCTGATGTCAAACTGATGCCTAATATGCAAAGGTACACATTTCGTTAGTAAACCAAGTAATGCCCGATGATAAATGCCATCTAAGTTCACTGAATAGGCAAACGAAAACAGTTGACAACCAATTGACTTAAATGGTGAATATAGACAATTAAAGAGGAAGTAACACACACATAAAGAGACCTTGCTTTCGACATTCAAGTTAGTATTTCGCTCTAGAGCTTATGAAATATGATGTCCATCACAAACATCTTTAAAACACGTTTTAGGTATTTTTGTGGTCTGAATCAATAAGAATTACGCTGGACGTTTAACCAGTTGCCGGAACGTAACCTCCAGAAAAATAGTTGCACAGGAAATGAAGGCATTTTTTTAAAAACTCAAACACAGACGTAGGTTTTAGTGATATCTTACAAGTTATTTTGAGTAAACAGACTCAGTGAAGTGATAGATTTCCTTTTTACTCCCTCGTGCATTAAATAAGACATTCCTACGTGATCTGGTTAGCAAAGTTGAACCACCCTTTCATGCGGACCACCTATATGATGATAAGAGGCGAGGCGATTGAACGCGTTGACCACTTTAAGCAAGAGTAGAAACATTAAACAACAGATTGGTGACCGATGAAATTTCGGCAGCAATACAAAATATATATTTGGCATTTGTTAACTTACGCCATTTGGAAAGCCAACACAATATGGAAATAAGTGCTGAAGACCCGGTAAATCATATGGTTATGAAGTATTGCCCTTAAAAACTTGTTTCAGATGGTTTCAATTATTCCATCACCGTAGTCATCTTAGCATTACTCGTACTTGGTGAAATTACTGCTAACAATGAAGATATTAGAAGCAGAACATCGCGTTAGAGAGGTATATCAGTCAATAAGGTTAGGAACCTGCATGTACTGATGCTGCTGGAGCGAAAACTGCCCGTAGTTACCAAAACTGCTGCTCCATTGTACTGTTTGCTAGCGTAGGACTAGGCGGGAATATATCTAGAGCATCGCACTAAAAGTGGCGTTGAGTGCGGATATAAAGGTTTCTTGGTTGATGTCCATAATTACCAGACGTCTGAATACAGCATGGGGACAGCAAAACCCGAAAAACCAGGCAGGTTTTAGACCTGGTGGTGGATGCATCGACCAAATATTCCCTCTGCACCACGTACTGGGACACGTGAGAACACAACGGCTACCGAAACTAGCTATATTTCTCTACCTAAAGGTAGAGTTTGACTCCGTCAATCGATAGGTTTTACGGAAATGTCTCTTGCTGGAAGGGGTGCCAGGTAATTACATCACCTAGATGGTTGGGATATGTGTTCCATATGCCCAGTCACCGTCTGCACAACTGCACAATGTTGGCAAAACGTCAGAGGTGACCAGAGTAAAACACAGCATCAAAACATGAAGCTTCTAAATGTTGGTTTGAGCCATATGAGAAATACAAACTTCCTGGTTGGAGTGTGCGTAACAATCGAAATCAATGGTTAAAAACCTTAGGTAATATGGCTCAGAATCCACACCAGTGCTTCAGACGCATCCGTATATTATCTAATTAACTATCATAGGTTCATTAATGTTTCATTCTACTTGTTACTACTTTTAATTTTTTTCCTTATTTCTCCATCTTCCATCAATGTATCAACTACACTGATGTGCCAATGTGTAGCAACTTGGGTCGTTGTGTATTAACGCCGTCCTACGTTAATACTGAATAAGGTTTTGTTAGTTTACTTCTTGCAAGGAAATATAGGCTTTATCATTTGTACAGCTGCAGCCCACTAAATTAAGTACTCGATATTGGGCCAGTGAGTACTCACTGAATTTACAATTTAAAAACCAAATAGTATTATCAGTACTGAAATAATACGTGTGGTTTACTCCTGAAGGAGCATCCTATATGTGATCTGCATTTTACATTTTATTTTATTTTTTTCTCGAAGACAGTTGGTAAACAGTTCTTATCAAAAAAAAAAAGCAGGCAGCCACACCTATTCTGTGAGAGCTAATGATGCCACTTGGTCACCTGAACCTCGTTAGATGATTCAGACTTGGAATCTATAGTCGAACGGTTAAGGGAGTGGAGTACATAGATCAATGAACCAAAGCTCCACAAAGAATCGGTATAACTGCACTCAACAACGATTGCTAGGTCGGACAGCCTCCGACAAATAGATCTGCCAAACAATTAAGAAACTCACCTGGTAATCTGTACACCCAAGCCAGTACAATTCCCGTAATGAGAAATTAAGAAGTAGGAAAACATGTATATATATATATATATATATATATATATATATATATATATATATATATATAAAACCGGTAAAAGAAGACCAGTAAAATTAGGTGCTACAGGAAATAATCGATGCAAAATGACAAATCACTACATGCAGATACATAGGAAATACACTTCAACTACAGAAAACGAGTAACGTCCAATAAAGTCTGTAACATACTTCTTTTTCGTGGTCCCCAATCTCGTTTAATTTCGCACAACATCCGACTTCAATGGGTAACTGGGTGGGAAATATATGTACAGTCTTACTGAAGCTTTACAGGAACCACACGTCCAGAAATGAAAATACTATTACCAACTGATACATAAACAGCTGTGCGTTTTCAGAATTTCATGTTATTCCTAAACAGGAAAGTCCATAACAGCTGGTTACTAAACTGCAAGTACCTTTAGATCAAACCTAGTTACCCTAATAGAGACTTCTTATTTACTTAAAACGAATTTGTAGAGTGAGAACACCAAGAAATGTGCAACACAAAAGTAATAATATTGGGTAGACAAAAGATGTGGAAGGAGATGAATAAAGCAGAAGAGATCCTATCAGTATAAGTCACCAACCATAACTTTGAAACTAGTTATCTACACTGAGTTTGTTATCCCACCACTTCATTTTTAAGTGAATTGATTACTGCCAGGCAATGCTGTTCAAAACTGTGGCACGTTTAGCGGTTATTGCAGCTTAAAGTCAATGTAGATAATGAGTAATCTTTGAAAAGATACATCTTAGTACTAATTTAGTTACGTTCTGTTGTTCAGAACAGTAACAGCGAAAGTAAACACGATCATGAGGCTCCATTGAAAAGGCAAACACCCGAGTGGGTCAGAAACATAGTTGCAAAATGAAACTTACTCAGGAAACTGGAAAAATAGCGGACTACTAAAGCTTACGGCACTGATAAATAAGAACTTCAGAATAGAAAAAACAGAAAATGAATACAGAACTTACACCTTCAGCGCTAATGGTCTCCGGTAAAGCTTGACTTGGCAATGGTGAAAACACGACAGACTGGTCAGTGTCAGATTTTTGTTCTGTTTCAGAGTAAGTGTCACTTTTTTGAGATCGAGTAACGGTAGTCCTATGTGCTGAATCACAGTGCTTCGTTTTGGCAACAGTTCTTTCTTTCTTACGACTGAATCTAAAACTGCGCCAGCCATGATGCTTTAGTCCATTAGAAGATGTGGTCTCTTTGACCGTGCTTGACCGCTTTGTCTGTGAAAGCAATGCATCTGTTATAAGAGCGCAAGAAGGTAAATTGACTACTGGTTGCAGTTTGACAATAGAGTTATCTGGTGCTTCAGGTAGCTGAACAGAGAAGTTTGAGCCCATCTTCCTGGATATACTCAGAGATTCCATCGACTGGATTGCACTAGTAGGAAGAAGCCGACGGTTGTTATCAATTGGAGGGTGTTCCACGTTACTGGTACATTCCGTGCCGGTAACTAAACATCCACAAAGCATTGTGTTCAAAGATTTTTGTCGAGGACGTTCACTACTTCGGAAAATATTGGGATGTCTAGTACTTCGCGCAGATCTTTCCTTCGGGTAGTGCTTAATTTCAACTGAAGCCTGAATGGGCTGACTTTCACCATCCTTGTTGTCATACTTTAAACTGTCATTCTGGACAAGCATCACGAATAAACAGATTAAATCCAAGTATTTGAAGACACAAAAGAAACCAAGTGAAGATTAAATTCCTCCAAAATTATCTAGCAAAGACTTGTTGGAAAGAAATCATATGTTATTTAAGTACGTCCAGTGTGTATTGGACATGTACAAATATCTTATGTGAAGCGAAATGACCCGAAACTGTTTTTTAACATTCTCTGACACATGCAGTTTCAAAGTGTTTGAATAAAAATTAAGTAGACTGTTTTCACATGTAGAAAAAGAAGGTTTACACTTGATCCGAAAACTGCGCTTTTCGTTTTCATTGCTCAATAGTGCTTCTCAGGTTCGCTAATGGTTAGTGACCGAATACAAGAACTTTTCACTTAAAAGAATCTTACGTTGAGAAGTACTAAACTAGAAGTCTCGACATCTAGGGAAATGGACCCACAAAAAAAACAAAGAGAAAAAACATGATTTTTATTAAGGATGTAAGACTATAGTAAAACTTCAAATGCTAAGCTTTGACCAACTCTGATAACATGGTCTGAACGACGTTCATGTGGAAAGCATTCAAAGACAAATTCTGAAGGTAACTACGACTTTCTTTAGGCAGCTAAATGCCTCTTTCGGTAGTTGGCCATGAACTGCTGTGTACACCGTTTTCGTACGTATTTGCTTGATGGAAGCCGTCATCGTGAAGTTAAGCTAACTAAATAACAAGAAAAAGTGTGTGTAACCTGACTAAGACTTGGTAACCTCTAAAGACTAAAATATATAATTGTTACCTTTCTTACCATTCAGACCTACATCTTCAACACACCAATAAGGTGAGCACTAAACGTACTACTCTTCTCCCATGGCCCATCGATTTCACCAAGTTAGCCTAAGGGATGTTTGCAGATGTTCCTAATGCCATCTACTCCAAAAGCAGGTATTAAAGTATTCAATGTGGGATATCGAAGCTGGCTTAAGTTAGACCCACTAGGAGACAGACCTCAAGGAAAACATTTCCCTTACTCATCACACGAAATCCCTCAGAATCGTCCCAAGCTTAAACCGACGAGAGTTAGTCATACACTTTCTGATTATCAGAGTATTAGAAGCCCCATAAGGAAACCGTTAGTCGATTTGCGCTGAAAAACACCGAATCGCAAAACAAAAGTTCACACTAGGAGAATTTCAGAAGTTATTTCGAATACTTCGAAAGCAGAGAAAACTAGTGTCTCCTTCAGCCTGTTGGACACTAAAAATTGCGAGTCTTGGACTGAGTAGAAGGTTGAAGTGACGTGCAAATCGGCCCAAGCTCAGCAGCTACGTGTCCAGGGCACCACTAAGAAGAGAAGTGACGTAGCATGACAATGTGCTGGATAGCGAAGGTGCGTGACCGCGTAGCTTCAGTTTCACAAACCGGTAGAACCATAAAGGTCTGCGTGAACGCAAAATATCTGTGGACCTTCAATCATCAACAGCTATTTATAGTTGTTAATTCGTGATCCATGTGCCTGGTTTACGCTTGGGATCGTTAAGGTCTACCACTTAGTTCGCACAGTCTTTTCGAAGCCCCACGTTTACTTTTACGATGCATGGTTACTCCATTCGCACTGAGTTATCAGTTCTCCAAAACGAATTAAGTTCATAGTTGCACTACTCCCTCAAAGAAGTGCACCTTCAACAGATGAGCAACATTGATAGAAGCAGTTACAGTCAGCTTGCGGCACTGAGTCTCAAACGAAAAGAATCGCGACGGACTGAAAAAAGCTTTGGAACAAAGCTGTAAACTTGAAGCCACTTGTAGAAACACGGCATGTCAAATAAATTTGCACCCCTTCACAGTATTTATAGCCATACAACATATTTGTTTGACACTGAACATTTTTCAAGCTGATAATGGATAGGTCTGCGGTAAAAGGTAGACATACAACCGCTTCTACACATAAAGACACAAAACATCCAGGGGTAGTGTTGTTGGACTTCATTTTCTAATGCTAACTTAGCATTGATGCCTATCAACTTCCCATTGGATCTTGTTGAAAACTCAAAGTGGCTTTAATAAAAGACGGCACATCGTTCTATCGTCGGCGACGAGTAAATGCTTTCCACATGATATGGTTGAGGTCCCCAAATGGTGGTTGAGGAGCCTTGGTGACAAGGTCTAAAATCGTCCTTAATGGAGTGAATTTATTCGCTCCCTGACATCTAAATCCTGAACATTCTCACTTACCTTCATCTTCAGATTGTTCATCCAGTCACAGAACTTTCTCCACTCTGGCATCACTGCTTTTCTAACCACTTGAGATTTTTTCGCTACCGTGAAGTGCGGTAACTTGAGCCGACGCACCTGTGTGCGAGGCTCTTGTTTGATTTTGTCAGCCAGTGCCAGTATGATATCACACTACAGGTATCACTCACAGCCACTATTGACGAGGTATACTATCCTGTGCATTTCGGCTTGTTACTGAAAGAGGTTTGAAGTGTGGGTACCTGTTATAAGATAACATTTTAATATAACCCCCGGTTGTCTACAAAACCCCGGGATCATATTAAAATATTATCCTGTAATGATTCAGTTAGGCTTGGAGCCCAACTCTTTCCAGGACACTCGTAACGACTACGGTCTTAATATTTACAGCCTTATGGGTACCTGTCCTAAATACCCGCGAACGGTTACTTACAAATATGTAAAACTAGTTCAGTAGTCACCGTTAAAGTCCGTATTATTGAACCTTACAATGTAGTGATTTGTGACCTAATGTTCAGAGGCCTTCGTGGGGTTGGAGCACAGCGTTACGATACTCATGACAATGCCTTTTTCCTGGAATAGTTCATCAAAAACTGTAGATGGTGGACCGCTCATATGGTGAATTCATCACACCATGCTGGGAACGAGTTCTGTGTTTTTTCTTGGGGGGAAAGTCGTAGACACGGTCCGAAGATCCTTAACAAAACAGAAGTTATATTTATCGGTTTACAACCGGTACTACTTCAACATGCTCTTGCGCTCTACTTAAGTTTGATGTTTGTAACTTCCGCCCATCCGAGTAAGTTCCAGACGACGACTAGGTATAAACTACCTTAAGGAGAGGGAGGTGAACCTCTCTGCCCTAATATTTCGAAAAGCGTGGGTAAATTGAACCGGGTTTGGACGGTGGAAACATTTTAAAAAAATTATGACTTTCTGAATATTATCTCGTTGGTTGGCATTCCCTTAGTAGTTTAATATTGTAGGAAGAGATGAAGGCAAATATGCGCTGTTGACAAAGGGACCTAAAAATGCAGAACTAGCACCTAAAGAATTAGAAATGTTTTCAAATCTTGTTGAGTGACAGATATATCAGGCCAGCAGGGGCTCAGTCTTTTCTAATGAAGCCTCTAGATTGAACGAATTCAAGTGCATCAGTTCCGTTTTTAGGCAATATTTTGCCTCTACACACTGAAATCTTTACGCGTATGCCATGGACATTTTCCAATTCGTTTTTTCGCCCCTGAATTCTTTACAGCCAGTTCCACAGAGTATGGCGTTTGTAAAGCTACTAGTGAGCCTTTTAAGCTAATTTCCTGCTTCACTATATATTGTGGGTTTGTCGAATGAAAACTGGGGCTATACCGTACAATATTTTTATCACGGTGTCAGATGCGCTGACAAAATGAACAGGTCCCAGTTTTAGCGGTGGACAAAGTAGATGAACTCCCACCGCCCGGACTTATGGTAGCATATGACATCTTGGTATTGTCGAAGGGGGAAATAGCTACACAGTGGTCAATTCGTCGGAATGGCAGACAGTCATGTACGCAGAATATTGTTGTCTCGACCAGCTCGCGGATACTTGACATCCATCCGTAGATTTCGACTGTGTATAAATCCGCTGTATCGAGGTAGCACATAAGTCAGCCACCGGTCAGTTTCAAGCAATAAAATCAACCTCAGTAGTCTTGTTCGTTACGTTTGTCAAATGGCCGTAGTGACTCACATGCCTATAGATTTACTTCAGCGGAGACCTTGTGCAGTAAGATGTGCAACGGAAAAAAAGATTTGGAAGTCTCTCCTGACCATTCGATTTGATGGTATCGATAGTTATTTGGGTATATTTACCGCCATTATGGATAATGACCCTTGGCCGTGACCGATACAGTGTTATTTTGTCGTTTGACAGTCCTCTTTGACCTCGCACTCACCATTTGTCTTTGTTTGTTTAGAACTTAGCACGAATGTTTCACTTTACGACTGTGGTAAGCTGGACTGTTGGCAATGTGACGTTGTTTTACTGCTCCTGATATGTTGTTTTGGCTCAACTTAGGGTTGGTCCGCAACTTGACTGCGTATCTTTTGCCTGGCTACTGGAAGCGCTTATCCACTGATTTGATTCTGGTAGACAGTTTTTGATCCCATCTTGTCGGGAATAGTCTTGCTGATTCTCAGTAAGTGTTCGTGCCCAAAAATGTTTGGTCCTATAGTCGCCGAACAACGCTGTCGAGGTATTTCTGAAATTTTGATACAACTTATTGTTGCTTCGATAGCACCAGAGATTCATTACGAATCTATCACCGATTTACTACAAGTCGTGTTTTTGATGTTCTTGAACAAATCCTTGACTGTGTGTCACACACGAAAGTTTGGGAACTATACAGAAGCTTGTCTAGATCGCGTTGCCTGGAGCCCCAAAGTTGTTTCCGGCGCACGGATCAAAGTAACTGGATTTTGGTCGTTACAGGAGGTTTTGATAATGCGCGTGCTCCATGCTTTATATTAAGACTGAATCTGCACAATAGGTAACTTTTAGAATGATTTGACTTAAATAATGAATCTTCTGCCGCCGTCAACTTTCCTGCTTTTTGTAAAATAGGAGGGTTATTCGGAGTGAATTAATTTAAATAGGCATTGAACCTCAGCATCTCGTAGGGTGGTGCGCTGTTTTGTCAGTTGTCAGTGGTAAACGTCGGTTCGTCTACCAAAGCCGAAGCGCCAGCTAGAAGCAAGCTGGCACAGTTTATATCGTGCCTAAGGGTGGTAGGTGATGGCATGTAATGAGTTAAACCTCAGGTAGTGATGAGGTGTTGTCAGCACAGAAATCAAAGATAGGGAAACGGTGACAGAAGTTGTAGAAAATTGGGTGGCGAGACAAGTGAAAGGGAATGGCGTTTTATTAGACGTGAGAAGTCCGGATGAAATTTTGTGAGGGGGCAACTAAAGACGCCGTGAACACACCAATGAACGTCATCGAGGAGCACCAAGCGATATCAAACTTACAATTAGTTTGCCCACCAATGCTTAAGAAGTCTGTAAGCCAGGAAGGTAGTAGGCGGCCACATCATTGAAGGAGTTGTGCCTTGAACTTGGACAAAAAGAAATGTTATTTGGTTGGGGCAAATCCATGACTCATAATGTGTATTCAGTGTATTCAAATGACTATAGGCTACTGGAGAAGCC